TGTATTATGAATATGTGAATATTCAAAAGGTGAAATAATTTTTGACATGAACGAAGAAGATGTTAAAGACATCAATGAAGAACAAGAAAATAAAAATATTAATAATGATGTTATGGACAAAGCATCGAAATTGGCGATGGCGGGTGCTACGGTCGAGTACACCTTTAAAGCCGACGTGGTGGCAAAAGCGTATGCCAGGGAGATGTTACTTTTGAGAAGCTCAAAAGAAAGCTCGGTGTCTCGGGTTCAGATGCATCCTACCATGATGTGGACAACATGCTTGAGGAGGCAATAGGAGATGTGGAGGAGCAAGAAGAGGAGCTCAACAAGATTGAGGAGGAAAAGAAAGCTAAGGGCAAAGCAAATGTGGGGGAGAGTGAAGATGAAGTGTATGATAAGAGTGATGAGAGTGAAGATGATGATACCAAGGGTGATGTATTTGTATAATTTATTTTAATCTCCTACTATTTAAAAGCCATTACGTGTGTTACTATTTGAAAGGAAAAGTGTCATTCCGAATTTTCTCTCGCCCTTTTGTTAAATTGCAATTAATGCCCTTTCTGTCAAACATAGCTTTTTTCCTGCTTATTTCTCGAATTTTCTCACAACCATTCAATGTTCATAAAGTTTTTCTCCTCTACGGTGATTCATTTTCCTTATCTTAGATTTTTTAACAGAGATTAAAGTTACACCCATTGAAATACAACGTACGCAAAATTCTCCATTCAAGCGAATATCAACTTTACAATTATCAAGATGATAGGGTGAGCGTCTTGCAATCTCATCGCAAGAATGGAGAATTATGAACTTCTAAACTTTTTTTCCTTAATTTGATGTGCTAATCAAAATTATGAATTAGGTATGCACAAAGTTTGATATTCTTTCTTAATTACTCTTTTAAAATCCTTTCTTCTATTAAATTTGAAATTTTTAGCAAGATTATGAAGTGAGTACTCTGAAAGTTTGATTTTTTGAACTTTTCCTCCTTAATTCGATTTTCTAATCAATATTATATACTGGTTATGTCTAATTTTTTTTTTACTTGCTTTTCTTAATCTAAAGATTTATGTAGTATTATGAAGTGGGTATGCTGAAATACAGCTTGGCCCTTCTCCGATCGAACAATTACAGCTACAATTGTCAAATTTTTCCTCTTTTTCTTTCATTTCTAGATATCACCTCTTTCCACCAATTTAATCTCATCCTCTCACTTTCTTCCTATTTCTTTCATATGAGTTTTTTTAAAGACTTTGATATAATGTTCGATCTTAACCTTTTGATATCGATATTGGTATTGGTATTAATAAGCCTCATCACATGACATTCAATTAAGGTCAAGGCTAGAGATTGTAGAAACATTGAAAATCTACATTAAAAATTAGGGTTTTTGCGTTTTTCTAATCAATTTCGAATGGGTCTCATAATCAACTTGAATTAAACAATGGAACACAAATTAGAATTATATCAAATTAAACTAATAAAAAAAAAAGACCTAAAATTTGCACTTAAAAACTATAGGATGTGGAAGACCTAGAAAACTCTTCTATTTAATTCAACATGCCATTCAAATCAATTCCTCAAATATTAAACATGAAAATTAATTTAATTCTTTCAAAACACTAACCATGATATTCAAACCCATTCAAACATATTTTCACATAATTTGATGATTGAAAAGCACTTTGATAAAGTATCTAGCCACCTAAACGTAAGTTGATCTTTAATTAACTTTAAAATCAACACTTCAAACCCTCGAGAAGATTCACGAAACACCCTACAAATAAATAGAACCTTAATTAATATAACGTCGCCAAATAATCAACAAAACCTTAACTAAATGTGCATAAACTAATTAAATTCTTTTTATTAATCTTTACAAAAATTCTATTTATTAAATAAAACATTAGAGAGGTAATTATTTATAAAACCATAATAATAATAATAATAATTAGAATTAGAATAAGAGAGAAAGAAGAATATAAAACCAAAAGAGAAGGGGAGTGGCCGGCAGGACAGTGGCGGTGGTGGTCATTATTGGAGGAAGAAGTTTGAGAGAAATATAGGAGAAAACCGTGAGAGATTAAGAGAAAATAAGTGAGGAAAATGTGTGTTTTGTGTGGATTTTTGGCTTTTTATGAGAGAGGTATTTATAGGTGTAAGAGTGTAAAAATTATGGAAAATAGGTTTAGAATGAAGTATGGAAATTATAAAGATATGGAATTACTTGAGCTACAATGATAAAAATAAGGAAAGTGCTAACTTGGTGAGCAAGTAGAGATTCTGGTATATGGAAAGTATGAGATTGTGAGTTGATCATGAAATGAAATAAAGAAGTAAAGCCTTGCTTGGAAAATAATTATAGGAGATTTGAGATCAAAATATATGTGATCATATTCTGCTTGCTAGTCTGTTGGGATAGAAGCCGTTGGGATCCAATTCATTGGCAAATGAGAAATAAGATCAAATATAGTGTAGATTTTATTTCATAAAAATAGGAAAACCTAGGAATTAAGGTAAGATAATTATTTTATAAAAATCTAAACAAAATCTAGTTAATTATTTACTTTGGCCGAAAATTCCAAGCTTCCTAATTAAATTAATTGCTCAAGATTTTGGACCATATAAATAATAAAAATCAGATTTTATTCAGTTTAGGAAAATCCTTATAAAAATTGGACTAATTAATTAAATAAGAAACTTATTGAAATATTTATTGAAATATCCCAAAAATGCATAACAAAAATATTTATTTTTCGGTTTTTATAAAATAGATAAGTGGATAATTAATTCTATTAAACATCCAAAACAACGTTTAAGTTTGAAAATAGATTTGGCGCCAAAATTGGTATATTCTTTTGGCTCCAAAATTCAAATAACTAAAATATCCATTTTAAAAAATAATTAATAATTAATTAATTAGAAAATACTAATTTAAAATATGGGGTATTACACAACATCTTTCCAGTCTTTAAAAATTGAAGGACAACATCAGTCACTCTTTCACCAACTACACTCTAGGAGGCCTTAATAAAAGTTCTATTAAAACCATAAGGATCTGGAGCCATAGACCCAAGAATTGATAACATAGCCTTCTTCTCATTCTCCCTTGAGAAAGGCGGAGAAAGCATCTAAACTTGCGCTTCACTTAGAACATGACCCTGTTGAACCACAATTGGACAAACACTAACCCTATCACCTATTTCTTCACCTGTAAGTAGTGAAAGAATTAAAAACCTACTTCAGAGAATAACACCAGGCACCCGTAACATCCTTGATATATAGTAATAACTTCCTTCTTATACTTTCTCATTCTAGTACTTTTATGAACGTATTTTGTATTATCATCACCCACCTATAACGATTTAATTTTAGCCTTCTGAAAAAGCCTAGAAAAATATTACCTTCTCACCAAAGTAGACTAAGTTAACAACTTTAGCTCCTTCTCTTTAACATTACTATCATTTTGATTTTGCTGAATAGCAAGCTGAACATTCGCAAGCTCTTCTGATCTATGCAAATGCTTTAAATCCAAGCAATTTCAACTTTTTAACCACCTTGCACATCTCCAGTCCATACAAATCATTGATCCAAGCTTTCTTAACAATCTTTGGATATAAAGGATGAGATGAGAGGTTCACATAACCAAAAACTTAAAAATAGGCTTAGAAATAGCACCAATTGTACCACTACTACAAAAAAGGCTTTAGAGAACTGTTAAAATATGCTTTATATAATGCCTGAGGACCGTTCTTCTGCTAAGCGATATATAAAGTTTACAGAACAGGCTGTAGAGGCGTTTTGTAAGTTAAGAATAGAGAATGGTTCTGTATTACAACCATTCTCTTTTCCTCCTAAAATTAAGTGAGAAAATGGAAAAAAAACAACCGTTTTCTTTATCTAACTGTTCTGTTTTCCCTTCACTAAAGAGTACTGTTGGGTTACCTAACAGTTTTCTATTCCTTTTTTTTATTTTTGAAAAAAAAAAATAAATTCCAAAAGATAAAGAAATAGTTACAAATTGCTTTTTTATCTTTTCTTTAGACAATTAAATAGTTACAAATTGGCAAATTGCTGACAATACCTTTTCCAATGACTTACAATTGTATTCAGTAGGAAGAATTTAAGACGAAATAAAAAATAGAAAAAAGATAGAGTTTAAAATTTAAATTAGAAAAAAAAAAATTAAACCAATAATTACAATAGATTTAGAATCTAAAGAAGCCATACTACAAATGCAGGGAAAAAGTCAGAGGTTGCGGATTTTTTGACTGGGTGACTGAAGATGATGTGAGTATTTATGATGCTTCACCAAATTCTGAGATTGCCACAATACATAACATGGTAGAAGACCTTTTTGTTTGCTGCAAGAGGCTTATTAAGATTGCTATTATCATATTAGTAATTTGTGTCTTTTTTTACCTTAAATGATGTAAACAGGGTAATGAAGGAAAGGGGAGTATCAAGTAGTTCAATCCTAATTAAGTTATGTAATCAGGGTAGTGATGTAATTTGTATGGGTTTTATGAATGCAGTTATGTAATTCAACCAAGTGTAAATAAAAACTCAGTTATGGTACTTGCTTTCTATTATATTTACATGTGCTGTTAATGAAACAAAGTTAAGGTTCATGATAATTTAGTTCCTAATTTAGTGTAATAGATTAAAAAGTTGCACAGAGTTCAAATTATTCCAACATTCCAGAAAGCACTCAAGAGCTAAATAAGATTGCATTATAACATGAAATTAAAAGCCTGTGGCAATGTATAAAAAAAGACATATGATCAAGTCAAAGTACAGATCATAACTAAACCTTCAAAAACCAAAACAAAGCCAAGCAATTGCAGTGTCATTTACAAAAAAAAAAAAACACCTAACTTGGTATTAGTTCAGCAAGCTACAGGACAGATTAGACTTTGTTCTTTCCTTTCCCATACTTCTTTGACCTAGTAACAGGTTGGCTGCTTAGACCTTCAAATGCTTGATATGAATGCTTAGTTGTGTTAATAAAGGGCGTGTGGTTGAGAAACAGACTGCAATGAGCTTCTTGTGAATCTTCTAGGTGGGTTTGGTGGGTTTGATGTGGAGGTACTCTTTGGTGCATTACGTTTAGTGGATTCAGAAGTTTTCTTTGCAATTCTATGTCCATCCCTATCACTTTGCTCTGCTGCTATGAGTCCACCCTTACATGTCTGTTTGTTGTGTCCATAACACATACATCTCTGACATTGGACTGTTGTAGACCTTTTTCCTTTGTCTGGTTCATCAGGTGCCCTTCTTCTTTGTCTAGATGGCCTACCAATGCCTCTTTTCATCTGTGGTGGTAGTATTGTAGGCATATCAATCTCTGGCCAATGCTCAAAATCTGGTACAGTGTGTATTGAGTTAACATAAGCTTGCTTATAAGTTTGGACTGAGAACCATGTGCTGCAAAATTTGTATGGGTTCAATCCAGCAGCCAAGATTGCTCTAATTGCATGTTTGCAAGGCAAACCTGGAATTTTCCATGCCCCACAGAGACATGTCTTTTTGTTTAGTGACACAAGAAGCATAGACTTCCCATCCTTCACTTCATATTCACCCTCCGTTGACTGATAAGCTTTGCAAGTTCGTGATTCAAAGGTCAAAATCTTTATTCTCTTTACTATATTAGGACATGTTTCATCCTCATTCCAGTTGTTGCACTTTTGTCTTCTTGTTGATAGTCTCACCATGTGCATTCTTCTTATACATATGCATTCATGTTAGGATAGGTTAGCATCAAAATGAAATGATGTCAAAAACCATTAAAGATGTTAGAAAAAGCAAACTTATACCTTCCAAAAGTGTTAAGACAGGCCTGCATCTGTCCACACCCAAAGTTGCATTGAAACTCTCTACAAAGTTGGTCTTATTTTCATCACTGCAAATTTTGGGATCAAATTTGTGCCTTGTCCACCTTGACTGCTTCCCCAAATCAGCCAACCATTCACAAGCCATTGGATTCACAGCCTTAATCCTATCCATAGCCTTTTTAAAGGTGAAAGGAGATGTTCCACTACAGGCCAACCAGAAGAGTGAATGCATTAAAGGGCTAGGAAATGATCCTTTCCAATTCTTGGCTAAGTGTTTACAACAATATCTCCTGTCCACTTCAGGCCATATCTTAGTTAGTGCCACATCTATTCCCTGCACACAAATACACAAAAGTGAGTTTAGTTGTTACTTGCAATTTCAGAAATCAAAGTGTGAGTGACAGAGCTAACTTACTTTTTATCTGTCTGAAATAATACACCAGCCATTACCCCTCCCAGAACCTGACAGAATATGCTTCAAGTGCCAGAAAAAATACTTCCAACTGTCACCATCTTCCTTGGGAACTATAGCCCATGCAAAAGGAAACAATTCATTGTTTCCATCTACAGTCACAGCAAACAGAAGGACCCCACCAAAATGTCCTTTCAAGTGAACTCCATCAACCACCACTAAACTCCTACATCCTGCAACAACACCATCAATGGCAGCCTTGAATGAAATGAATATACTTGAGAAAGTGAGGGATGGATCAGGTGGATTAAGTTGCTTCCATACACAGTTAGCTGCAGATCCTGGGTTGGTTTCTTTAACCATCTCACAATACTTTGGCAAATGTCCATAAGAAGTATCATGCCCACCATTTATCTCCTTCAATGCTACCCCTCTCATCTTGTAAACGGTACTGGTTGCCATATGCACTCCATATTAACTGAATAAGAGATCATTCAGTGTCTTTCCAGAGATGTCATTATTAGCCCTTATATCTTCCATTAGTTTTTCTACAACCCATTTAACAGTCACTAGGGGATTCCTTTCATCTAGGCCTCCACAAGTGTGCTCAGAGTTCTTTATACTCTTTATAGCCTAAGTAACTCCATCTGGTAGCTTACTTGAATGAATTCTCCAATCACAATTTAAAGCAAGACAGGAATCAGTGAACCTCCTTGGACTGCTCCTATCAACCACTACTGCAAAACCACATTGTATACAATAATCTCTGAAGACAGACATGAAATGCTCTTTATCACTGAAGATTATCCAAGGCTTCAACACTATACTGCCAAACTCAACATCAGACACAAATTCACCATTTTTATACATTCTACTAAAATAAGTGTCATCTGCATACAGACCTCTTTGCCAGCAATCTGATATGTATGGGTCATATGTGTCATGAATACTCCCAATTTCTTCATCCTCTTCATATTCATCATCAATATCATCTTCCAACACAGCACCCTCATCCATTTCATCTTCCAACACAGCACCCTCATTCATTTCATCTTCCAGCACAACACCCTTATCCATTTCATCTTCCAGCATAACCCCCTCATCCATTTCATCTTCCAACACAGCCCCCTCATCCATTTTATCTTCCAGCACAGCCTAAAATCCTTAGCTCTACCACTTTCACCAATCTCATATGTTCCCACAACTTGAGCATCCTTAACCTACCTAATCCTAACTGCTTCATTAAACTCATTCTCACTCACCACCATGGCTTCAACCATAGTTTTTTATTGGTCTAAACATTCTTCTTCCTAGCAGCTGTACTCCTTGGTGTTTGGGGTAAAATTACCCCAGCCACGTGGCCCTATGGCTGAGCGACACGTGGCACCTTGCTATTGGTCAGCAGGGCTCCAATCCCCTGCTGACACGTGTCCTAGGAACCCTAAATGGGGAGCCAATGCTCCCCACTATAAATAGTGGGAGAATCCTCATTAATGGGGCATTCAATTCAGAAAATTCAATACATTCATAAATACGCATATACCAAAACCGAGCAATATTAGTTGCGGAATTCCCCCATTACGCGAGAAGTAATTTCACCCCTTTTACGCACTATCTTCCTCCTGTACATCACTAACTTGATCGTCGGAGGCGGAGCTCCACCCAACCGGAGTCTTCGTGGTTTTGCAGGTACAGGCGGCGGAAGGGAATTATTGGAATTGTAACTCTCCCGCAGGACATCAAAAAACCCCAAAACATTTGGCGCCGTCTGTGGGGAGAGTACTTCTGAGATGACTTCTAACCCTGTACCACCGGATCAGGACAAGCGGTCATCGGCCGAGCCTGAGGTCCAGACGGACCATGAAAGCGGTAATGATTACGGACTCGACACCTATGTGGCCCCAGACGGGTCCTTCAGAACAAAGCACACCCGTTCCAGGGATAAGAAGGAACGGGATAACATCCAAGCTGCTCCAAGCAACCCAGCCGGCAACCCGGTTGGAGCCGCACAGGCGGCAGAAGGCTCTGCTCCCGTCACAAGGAACGAACTCATGACCTTCATGAATAGTTTCAAAGGCGAAATCCAGAGCCTTATTCGGTCAGCTACTCCCAAGAAGAGTCAGCCGGCCAAGAAGCCTTCTAACAAGAAGGCAATCAAAGACCGGGTCCCTACCCCTCATCCAAAGCCAAAGGAGAGGGAAGGCCTCAGGTTCGATCAAAACCGGCTCCGCTTCCCGCAAGCGGAACCCAGAAAACCCATACCGCACTTGCAGCCGGATGGTTCAAAAAAGATATTCTCTGACGCCCGGACGTTTCTCCAAGAAAAGTGAAGTCTGGCGTCTGCGTCGGCTTCAACGTCGACCTTTCCAGATAGTTTCCGTGACACCTCTAACAGGCGTACGGGAACAAGTCTAGGGAGTCAGACGGGCGAACCATCCGCCCGGTCTGGACCCCAAGTTATCCAACCTGGTCTATTTGGTTCGCCGAATGGGCTGGGTGGATCCCCTTTTACCCAAACAGGTCCGTTTGGCAGAAATGTGCAGCAGCTGTTCCAGCTCATGGACTGGCAGTAGCGCCTGCTGAACTTGGGAGAACAGCCCTCGGCGTTCTCCCCTGAGATAACCCAGGCGGCACAGCCGGCTAAGATTAAAAACGTGTTGGTAGGGGCCTATGATGGTACCTCAAACCCAGAAGATCATTTAATGGCCTATTCCAACCTCATGTACTTACAGGGGTTGGATGATGCCGTCTGGTGCCGATGCTTCCCGGCTACCCTGAAGGGCATTGCCCAACGGTGGTTTGGTAACTTGCCAGCTGGCTGCATCAACAGCTTCAAGACCTTGGCGTACTTATTTACGTCAAACTTCTCAATGAACATCTCGGCCAAAAAGACTAGCCTCGATTTGGGGGCAATACAGCAGGGTGACAGAGAAGGGCTCCGATCGTATGTCAGGCGGTTGAATCTGATGATAATTCAGATGCAAGGGCTGTCTGACGAAGTTGCTTACACAGACTTCTTTAAGGGTCTGAAGGATGGGTCAACCTTCAAGTTTGACCTCGTCCGGAAAAGGGTAGCCACCCTCCAAGAGGCGTTAATGGAAGCTGAAGCCCACATACAGGAGACGAAGTTTTATGCTGTAAAGCAGCCGTCGGATTCCAAAAAATCCAACAGAAGAGACAGCCGGCAACAACAACAACAGTCGGCTAAAAAGGAAGAAAAGAACAGAAAGGAGGTCTGGGCGGCAGACCGATCTGGTCAGCCGGCTCAGAAGCTCAGACGGAAATCTGAACCGTACGTTCCCAAGTATGAGTTCACAAAGGACTGCTCCTCCATCCTCATGGAGATCAAGGACCGGATGTCTCTCGACAAGCCGGCTGTGATGAAAAGCCCCGTAGGCAGCCGAGACAAAAGCAAATACTGCCAGTACCATGAGGATTTTGGCCATGACACTAATGGTTGCTATAGCCTCAGGCGGCTATTAGACCGTCTGGCTGATGAAGGGGCTCTAAAGTCTTATTTGCCCAAAGCCAAGGGTAACACCCTGGCCAAGAAAGGGCAGGCGGCAAAAGCTGTTCTTGCCAATTCAGAAACGGATGAAGAGACCATCTTCACAATAGCAGGCGGCTTTGCCGGAGGGGGTCCCACTATCAGGGGCACCAAAGATAACATCAGGAAGCTGGTTAACTCAGTTGAGGAGAGCCAGGCGTCAAAAGACACCTTTCTTGAGGTCCTTATATCTAAAAAGGACCGAGGCAAGGTCAGGCGGCCCCACGATGACCCCATAGTCATCGAATGAAAAGTTGCCAATCAGAGGGTTGGCCGGATCCTAATAGATACCGGGAGCTCGTCTGACGTAATCAGTTATCAGTGCTTGACCAAGCTCAAGTACAAATCCAGTAGCATGCACCAGGCGCCCCACCCGCTTGTTGGTTTTGGGGGAGGCGTAGTGCATCCGGTAGGAAGCATAGATCTTCCCATCCGGCTGGGAGAAAAGGGGGAAGGACGCCACATGGTGATAAAATTCCTGGTTGTAGAAGAGCTCGCCGCCTACAGCATGATTTTTGGCCGTCCGACCCTCAATGAGTCCAAGGCTGTCATCGTTCCTTCTCTCATGCTTGTCAAATTTGAAAAGGACGATGGAGCAGTCGGTTCCCTTAAGGGGGACCAGAGGGAGGCCAGGGAGTGCTATCTCTCTGACGTCAGACCTACTATGGGGGCAGCCGGAGACAGAAAGCCCATAGATCTTGATAACTGCGATACAGCAGTCCCGGCTCCAAGGGCAGCCGGTAAGAAAAGAAAGGCGGGCCAGACGGATCCCGTCAAGCAAGAAAAATAGCAATCACTAGCCGGGGAAAGGCCAGATGATCAACGACCTCAGCCGGCTGGTGACTGCATTGATGTCGTCTTAGACGACAACCGTCCTGACAGAGCTGTCAAGGTTGGGACGGTTGCTTATGAACGGTTGGGAGCAGACCTGCTCCAACTCCTAAGAGAATTCAAAGAAATCTTTGCCTTTGAAGTGGAAGAGATGCCAGGCGTCAGCCCGGATCTAGCTGTCCACAAGCTTGCCGTGGATCCTAAAAAGAAGCCGTTCAGGCAGAAAAAGAGGGATCACGGTGAAGAGAGATCTCAGGCGGCAGCGGCTGAGGTAAAAAAATTGTTAGATGCTGGGTTCATCCGGCAATGCTACTACCCGGATTGGGTAGCAAACGTTGTCCTCGTGAAAAAGTCGAATGGTACCTGGCGGATGTGTGTAGACTACACAGATTTGAATAGAGCATGCCCAAAGGACAGTTACCCGCTTCCAAAGATCGACAACCTGGTCGACTCTACAGCCGGTCATGCTCTGATGAGTTTCATGGATGCCTACTCAGGTTTCCATCAAATACCCCTATGGAAAAAAGATCAAGAAAAGACGGCCTTCGTCACTGATCAGGGGTTATTTTGTTACAAGGTGATGCCGTTTGGGTTAAAGAATGCACCTGCTACATTCCAGCGCATGATAAACACCGTCTTCATCAATCAGATTGGCAGGAATGTAGAGGCGTACATTGATGACATGATAGTCAAATCCAAGCTACAGACGGATCACCTACTGGACCTCCGAGAAACATTCACTACACTCAGGCGGCACCGGGTCATGCTTAACCCAAAGAAGTGTGTATTTGGTGTTGAGTCTGGGAAGTTTCTCGGATTCTTGATCGACCAAAGGGGCATAGAGGCTAATCCGGAAAAAGTACAGGCGGTGATTGACATGCGGTCTCCCCGCACTGTGAAAGAAGCCCAGAAATTGACCGGTTTCCTGGCGGCGTTGGGAAGATTTCTCAGCCGGTCAGGTGACAAGTGCCTCTATTTCTTCCAAGCCATCCGGAAGAGGTCCAGATTTGAGTGGGGTGAAGAGGCGGAAATGGCATTCCAGAAGCTAAAGAAACACTTGCATTCGTTGCCAAGGCTAGTGAGCCCCCTGCCCCGGGAGGTCCTCTATATGTATCTAGCCGTCTCTGATCATGCCCTTAGTGCCGTTCTCCTCGCTGAGAGAGACGGTAATTAGCTCCCGGTGTATTTCATCAGCCATGTACTTAAGAATGCTGAACTCCGGTACCCCATGATCGAAAAATTTGGGTTGGCCCTGTTCATCGCAGTCAAACGGTTGAAGCCCTACTTTCTAGCTCACCCGGTGATTGTATATACAGACCAGCCGCTCAAGCGCCCAATGACCACCATCGAGTCATCCGGTAGAATGATCAAGTGGGCTGTTGAAATACAGAGCCTCGAGATAACTTTTGAACCAAGGCGGGCAGTGAAAGGTCAAGCGTTTGCCGAATTCATTGTCGAAATGACTAGACCGGTGCAACCAGAAAATCCTGATCAGGTCTGGAAGTTATTCGTAGACGGTAGCTCTACAATGAACGGCTGTGGTGCAGGCGTTATATGTCAATCTCCGGAAGGGGACAAGTTTGAATATGCACTACGGTTCCGGTTCCAAGCCTCTAATAATGAGGCGGAGTATGAAGCCCTGCTAGCCGGTATACGCATGTGTAAGGCAGCAGGGGCAACAAAAATCAGCGCCTACTCAGACTAATTGATTGTTAGCCAGTACAATGGTTACTTCGAGGCCACCCATCCGGCTATGATCAAGTATTTGCAGGCGGTCAGAGAAGAGGCCGTGTCACTTGATGAATTTCATCTAAGTCAGGTGCCCCGGTCCGAGAATAATCAGGCGGATGCCCTTTCCAAATTGGCATCATCCGCCTCCTGTAATGCACCTAGGACGGTTTTTTGGGAAGTCATTGAGAAAAGAAGCATTGATCAGACCCCATAGGTATCCTGGACCGAAGTTCCACCTGGATGGACCCCATCCGGGATTACTTGGCAGACGGTACCTTACCGGATGACCCTTCTGAAGCAATGGCGCTCAAGAAGCGTGCTCTGAGCTTCGTTATGCATCATGGAGAACTCCTCCGGAATGGTTATCTACAGCCGTTTCTAAAGTGTGTAACCCCTGAAAGGGGAAGAGAGGTTCTAGAGGATCTGCACGCGGCAGGTCCTTGGCAAGAAGAACCAGACGACAGGGTTACTTTTGGCCCACTCTTGAGGCAGACGCCATGGATTTGGTGAAACGGTGTGACAAATGCCAAAAGTTCGCCCGGTTGATACATCGACCGACAACTGACCTGACAGCCATCCATAGCCCGGTTCCATTCGCAAAGTGGGGCATGGACATTCTGGGTCCGTATGCTCCTGCATCAAGTGGTCGCCGCTATATTTTGGTGGCGGTGGATTACTTCACTAAATGGGTTGAAGTAGAGGCGGTCAAAGGCATAAAAACAAAGGATGTGATCTCCTTCATTTGGAGAAATGTCATCACCCGGTTTGGGGTTCCAATGTCTATGGTCTTTGACAACGGACCTCAATTTGAAACGCCTGTCCTCAAGATCTGGTTAGGGGATCAAGGAATCTCCCATTGTTTTGCATCCGTTGGCCGTCCTTAGGCAAACGGGCAAGTTGAGGCCTTCAATAAGTTGATCTCAGACGGTATAAAGAAGAAGGTGGAAAGAGCCAGTGGACTATGGGCAGAGGAATTACCTCATGTCCTTTGGGCCATCAGGACCACTGAAAAAGGGGCAACCGGTGAAACCCCATTTCTTATGACATATGGTACTGAGGCGGTGCTTCCCATTGAATATTATGAGCTAACACTTCACATCATTCTATATGATAAGGCGGCCAATTGGGAAGCCATGCGGCTTTCACTGGATGCTCTCCCAGAGCGAAGGGGCAACGCAGCCTTGCGTCATGAGATTTACCGCCTGAGAATGACAAGAGCCTACAACAAGCGGGTTCACAAACGACCCCTCAAAGTAGGAGATTTTGTGCTTCACAAAATGGAAGCAACCGGTAGGGCCAATGAACAAGGCAAACTGACCCCAAATTGGGAGGGACCCTACCGGATCTTTGAAGAAGTACGAGACGGCACATACCGCCTGGAAACCCAGACGGTAGAAAGCTGCCTAGAACCTGGAATGTAGATAATCTCAAAAAGTACTACTTCTAGAAATTGTATAGCTTTTGTAGATTTCTATATAATTAATGAGAAAAATTTATTACATATCATGCTTACATGTGCCACGTCTTGTGCTTAACACAAGCGGCCTCACTTACCAGTTTTCCATGCGCCATGTCTTGTGCCCAACACAAGAGGCCCTGAAAACTAACAAATCAGCCAGTGACATCCATTCGGGTGAATTCATCGAAGAGAACATCTCCCATTTGGGTGGAAAATTGTTCTAGTGATAAAAAATCAGGCGGTCCTACCCGCCTGAATGATCCATTGCACCAAAGAATCGTGGCTAGCATCTCCAAACATGCAGTCGGCCCACTCTTTGGATCAAGTGCCATTTAAGGCTGATCTCAAAACAGACAGCCGGTACCAAAACTGCCGCCTAATCGACTGAGAAAAGGCAGGCCTCAAGCATTTGGTATAGGCCAATAATCTATGAAGGGGTTGCAGAAGCCCAACCGGCAAATTGACACCCTAAATCTTATGAAAAGGTCTTTCCAAAAAGCCAGCCGGCAAGTCTTTAAAAACCGGCTGCTTTTCGTTTTTACGGATAACACTTAGCTAAAATCGTTGGCATTTGCGCTATAGCATATGGATAGCCGCCTGGCACCATTTCATCTATGCTAGCCTCCTATCCAGGGGCAATTACCTATCCTAACCCCAACAAGTCATGAGGAAACATTCATTCAAAACAAGAAAAATGCGATATTCAAAGCAGCAAAAAGAAAAAAGCAAATTCATTCAAAAACAGATCAACCGGTAAATATGTAGCAGAATTAACCGGCACAGCCGGTGAAAATATTAAATTGTTTACAGAATAAACCGGCACAGTCGGTGAAAATATCAATATTCAAAGTGAAAGACAACAGCAGAGTAAGCCAACCCTTCCGGCGCTATTACAAGATAATGCACGGCGCGCAGGCCGGGAGGTCGTTGCTACTCTAACTGCACTATTACCCGGTCACCCTGAGCCTGACTCCCTTCCGGATGAGTTGGGTCGGTGTTGGGAACGGAGCCGGGAGCAACCTCATCCTCAACTGCCTCTTCGTGGCCAGCCGCCTCCTCCTGCATCCGCTTGAACTCCGCCTCAACCCATTGCTCATAGGGTTTAGGCCCCGGCTTGCCCTCCTCCTCAGCCAGAATGGAAAGGTCTGCGTACTTGTGGGCAAGCTCCCAGACGTTGTAGTCTGTACCCGGATGGATAATGGAGAATGCCCTCTTCATTCTGTTTTTGCAGTCCTGCTCATTCTCCTCAATGAGCCGGCTCTGATCAGCTTCTAGGGTGGCCTGGAAGTTTCGCTGAGCACCAGCAGCCTCCTTGACCAGGCGGTCATTCTCTAGTTGCCGCCGTTTGCTGCTCTTCTCCGCCTGGTCGAGCCGCTTGAGGGGCTCCTCGTGCTTTTTCAGCTCATCTTCAGCATTATCCAGGGCCGCCTGGAGGTTGTCTATTTTGAGCTTGGACTCTTTGAGGGCCTGTTGGAGGGACTTGACCTGATCCGCCTGTTGCATGATTATAGATTTAGTTTATAAGTCATGCACAATCATGGAATAGTGAGCAACGCTATGTGCGTCATCTGCAGAACGTTTGGCTCTTCTTACCTCTTCCTGCTTGCGAATGTAGGCCTTCTTGAGCCCCTCCACGCGGAGCAGAGCCTGCAACAACAACACAACCGGTATTAGCAGAAGGATCGGATGGGTATACTACAAATTAAATGCCGGGTGGGTACTCAATGACTTACATCGGCCAGGTCGACCATCACCCGGTCGGCATTGAAGGTATTGATTCCAGGAATCGCCTCCTTCTCGTCCCGGGGGACGGCTTTCAGCATGGCCCGGGCGTATTGAGCAGCGTCCGGCCAGCGTGGTGAGTTATCTGCACCAGAAACAGACGGTGAGAATGCTGCGTATGCTCCACCTACGGACAACCGGCTGATCGGAGAATCTCCCGGCTGCGACGAGGAGTATGACTTTACCCGCATGGGTAGGTCGAGCAACGTGAGGTTGAAGGGGTTTGTACCTTTTTGGGAAGCCTTTTGGCGTCCAGCAGAAGATGGACCGGTTGCGGTCCTTATTGGAGTGACCTCTTTCGAGGCCATTTCAGTGTTAGACCCGCCTGGGGTCTTTATTGATTTACCGCCGGTTGTAGCCCGGGTGGTAGAAGCGGTTTTCTGCACCTTGAGTGCAGGCTCTTCAACAGACGGCCTTTGTCGGATCTGTTTTTGCAAAGAACGGGGAATAACACCCCCATCCTGAAACAAGACCACAAACGGTCAGGTGAATAAATAGCTAAAACAGCATCAAAGCCAACACATAGAGAAGGTCAGGCGGGCTAACCTTTTTAGCCGCCTGAGCGGCAAGTTTCTTCTCCAGATTCTCCTTGCGGATATCTGAAGCCTTTTTTGCGGGTGTCTTGGCGGTGGGCAGCATCTTCTTAGCTTCTTCTGCAAAACGAAAACACATCCGGTCAGAAACATGATAATTTTGCATTGCAATCGAGAAAAAGGCCAGCCGGCAACAAATTAACCGGCTAGGGTTCGTAACCTTTACTCTCAAACATGCTGCTAAGCCCACAGGCGGACAAGAAGCACTCGTCCTTGAAAAATTTGTGTTTGGGCACCCAGTTCTTGGGTACCCTTATTATCTATCCGGTTGAGAGAGAGGAAGAGGTCAGCTCAAAAAATCCGGAGTCCAGAATTGCCACCCTATCATTATCAGGAACTGGGGGTAGCCGGCACTTCTGCCCTAAAAGCTCTGGTTTCCGGTTGTAGGTCCGATACTCCTTGTTCTCCTTCTCAGACGGAGCTTTGACCAGGTAGATCCGGTTCTTCCAGTCCGACCATTTAGACGGCTTGTCCAAGGTCATCATATATTGGGGGTGAGTTGTCAAGGTGTACCAGGCCCTCCAGCCGCCTGGGCTCCGGCTCAAATAGTGCATATGGGCAAACGCCTCCCAGCCAGGGTTGAGACCCTGCATCTCGCAGGCGGCGATGTACCCTAAAATGTTCACCCAAGAATTCGGGGTGAGTTTCCAAACGCCTAGGCCATACCCCCTAAGTATGGCCTTAATTTTGTTGTGAAGGGGGAAGCGGACACCGGCTAGGAAAGGCGCTTCATAGCACCCAAACCAACTGTTAGCGTTGGGTTGGTCATCTTCCCATACAAACATCCCGAACTCCCTCGGCACGGTCATCTTGTATCCTCCACCAAGCGGCCGCCTGGTAATAAAGTCTTGTAGAGAAGACCGCATGAGGGCATGGTCCTTTAGAGAGACGGCGATCATGAGAGGGTCGTTTCTGCTTTGCCACGAAGGCCTCTCCGCCTCCTCGCTATCTTCTAACATGGTCAAGTAGCTGGAGCTACTGCTTTTAACCCGACCGTCATCAGAGCCGGATGGAGAGTTGGGACCCTTAATGGCGGCTTCTGGCTGCTCAGCCTCCTGAGCTGGAGAGGTTTCCTCGTTGTAGGAGCCTAGAATGCTATCGCTTGGGGTGGCGGGGGTTCCGCCGGATGGTTCTCTAACCGCCCCGTATGGGCCTTGATTTTCAGGCGATAACTCATTTAAGTCTCCGCCTCTGTAATTGGGGTCCATAGCTGTTCCCCTAATTCTGGCCATTGTGTCCTGCACAGACACGGAGTCGGTCGATACAGGCGTTGAAAAGGGGAAATTCCAAAGATCAGAGGCGGCAGATCCAGTTCTAGACTCAGCCGTACTAATTGACCGGCTGAGTTCACAACTATGGTCCGGGTATGGGTATAAAGGGTCCATCTACCTATGGGACTTATAAACAAAACTGCAAGCAAAAGACGCAAACGGAAATACATGGAAAAGCAAGAAGGAATAGAGACGGTACCTAGAGTAGAAGAGAGTTGAAACCTCAAGAAATTTCTTGGGGATGCTTGCGAAGACACATACGGTTTGAAGACCGGCTGGGTTCTTTGGGGTACCCTCTCGAAAAACTTTTGCTTGCTTACGACTTTACAGGCGGTCTGAAAACCGGCTGCTCTTAAACTATCAAATCTCCGTGTGCTCTGAATTTCAAGTATCGGATGCTCTCAAATGCCGGATGCTCTCAAAATTCAAGAAAATTCACGAAGTTTGTAAATGAGCTCTCATGCGCTTCCTCCCCTATTTATAGGGGTTGCCTTAGAAGGCGAAGGGACGCGACCCTTCCCCTTCTGCTTTTCCCTCTTCTTTCAGTTAGAATTTGAAGGGGTTTCGTACAAAAAATAAAATAAAATAATAATAATATTTTCGTCAGGTGCCACGTGGCTCTCTTCTCAGGTGCCACGTGGCACCTTGCCACAACAGCACGTGAGAGAGGCAAATGTTTGGGATAAAATTACCCCAGCCACGTGGCCCTATGGTTGAGCGATACGTGGCACCTTGCTATTGGTCAGTAGGGCTCCAATCCCCTACTGACACGTGTCCTAGGAACCCTAAATGGGGAGCCAATGCTCCCCACTATAAATAGTGGGAGAATCCTCATTAATGGGGCATTCAATTCAGAAAATTCAATACATTCATAAATACGCATATACCAAAATCGAGCAATATTAATTGCGGAATTCCCCCATTACGCGAGAAGTAATTTCACCCCTTTTACGCACTATCTTCCTCCTGTACATCACTGACTTGATCGTCGGAGGCGGAGCTCCACCCAACCGGAGTCTTCGTGGTTTTGCAGGTACAGGCGGCGGAAGGGCATTCTTGGAATTATAACTCTCCCGCATGACATCAAAAAAACCCGAAACACTTGGTATTTTGTGAAGGACAAGAGCAGAGTTACATTTCAACATTGAGGGTATTGCTAAGGAAGAATCTGATTTTTGATGAAATACAGGTGCATTTGAGAAAGTTTGTTGTGGGGCCATGGTTTCTTTATCAGTAGCTAGTTGAAGCCTTCTCTTGGAGAGGTAGTTTCTTAGGTTTCACAGTTTTAGGTGCACTCATTTTTTTCCTCTTTTGTTGACTCTCCTGTTCACACTCCTCTATATTATCAACAGCTGCATTGTGCTCTAATTCCATATCTATCCTAATATCATTCTAGTACTCCTCACCATCAAGACACTCTTCATTCCCACCTTGTTCATCAATTGGTGCATTTTTCTTAGGTGGGCTAGCACCAAAATGTACACTAGGATTTTTTAAAGTGATTCAGCAAGCTTTCTAGTAGCAATTACACAGTCAATAGGTTTGTCAACATAACCAATCCAAATAGTAATCTCTTCCCTATCCCTTAATCTATCCAGCATTGACATTAAATCACTATTAGAAGTAATCTTAACATCTTTCATGTTATAGCAATAGTGAAAGTTAGGGAATTTAGGGAAAGTCATAGTTTTTTTTCCTAAACTCTTCCTCACACTCAATGATCAAATCTATCCACATGACTTTGTCAATATCTTCAACAAATACTTCAATTACATTACCCATATAGGCAAACTTTAGCATAGTCTGATCCATTCTACAACATAACAACCACACGCATATATTTTAACATCAAACACGTACTAGCAAGCATAAAGATTTCATCTTTGATTAACATGTACTCAGACAAACAAAAACAGAGCATGTAACTTCTGCAAGTATAAGAATAACATGAACAAACTTAAGGTTAAAGGACATACCTTGCTTAAGGTCTGTATACCACTTCAGCAACCGCTAGAAGGTCCTTGATTGTGCAAATTCCGTCAGAATTTAAACAATAAACCCTAAATTTTGACCCAAAAAATTCACCAAAAATCAAACTATTCCAAGCCGTTAATCGATAACAATTGCTCAACAATTTCGCCAAAAATTCGTCGCGCAAATGTGTTTGATCCTTACAAATTTTTAATCAATTTATTTCAGTGTATGATTTGGTGGAGGTTAAAGGTAGAGGAAAGGGTTTGGGATTTTTTTTCTTGATCAATGTCGAGCAAACAGTAGAAATGCAGTGGTCATTAATGAAAAGATGAGGGAATCAATTAATTCAAGGGTTGGTTAGTCTTTTTGTGTAATGTAGTTAAAAAATAAGTCATTTAGTAGTTGGTTAGCCCATTTAATGATAATTAGGACACTGAAATCAAATTAGTGAAACCAGAGTGCCACTAAAGAGAGTTGAAAAAACTTCGTCTTCCACGTAGAAAACTTAAAACCATGAGGCCACCATGTAGAATTTCCCAATTTTATATATGTATATATTTATTTATTTATTTTTTCTATTTTGTTTAATTCCACTATTTCTTTTCATTTAATTCCGAAATAGTTTTACCTACTCTGTACTTTTATAGATTTCTTTTATTTATCCCTTCAATATTTAGTTTTTTTCCTAACATGTTTATTTTTATTTTAATCTATTATTTTCCCTATATTTCTAATTGAATGAATTGTTTAAATTATAATTTTTTAAAAAAGAAAATTCTATATTTTTACTATTTTAGCGTAAATGAGTTACAAAAACAATGTTGATGGGGGAAGACGAGTAGACGACAAAGGGGAAATCAATCTTGTAATATCGTACATAAACGCTCTGTCTTAATCAATATGCCAAGACCACACTAGATTTTTACTATTGTATGTCTTGTTGATTATGTTAATAAAATATTTTGCGTTGTTTTATGTGAAAAAAAAAATAAATGGATGAAGGGAAAATTCAATACTATTTGCTTAATATAGGTCTCGGCCCCCTCGGATTTTAATTTCTGGCTTCGCCTCTGGGTTAGGAGTAAGACCCCTTGCTAAGTTTCCTAAGGAACTAGATCCTGACGGTTAGCATTTTCTTGCTACTCAGTTTTTAATTGCTCAGAAAGCCCTTCAACCAACTACCCTTATATTTAAGTTCTCCATTCCTTCTTACTTTTCTTACAATTTCAGTTTCATGCCCCATCTGCAAACATGAGCCACATTTCATTGATTTCCATTTAAATGCAAGCTTCTGTTGAACTAGATAACCATGCTCAAACAAGAATTCAATCCTATCAGAAAATTCACCATCAAGCTCCACCTCCACCAGATATCTAGGAAATTTTATTCTCGTTCTCCTTCTTCAGAGTAGCAAGATCTAGTTTAATAAGAGCACCAATCAAGCCCACAATTTTCTTGAAGCAATTCTTACCCCAATATTTCAGAGGAAAATCAGGCAATTGAATCTAAACTGGGATTTTAGTAAATTCATCACAACTAATTTCCATACCATCTTCCTAGTGCTTCAAGAAAACAGGGTGATTATCAAACAAAATATGAGCATAGTTCAATGCTTTCTCCTTAATTTTCATGTTCATGATCGAATCTAATAAGAAACACACCCTTTTTAAGAGGAATTACTTTACTATTCGCCTCAAAATTCGACGACAAAAACCCACAAACGAATTAAGGTAAGGATTATTGAAAACCCCCAACTGCAAAGGCAACAATACCTATATTTATGTAAGCAATTTCATCTGAAACATCAACATAACAATAGACAATTGAAGTAAGTTCGAAGAAGAAGAAGAAGAAGAAGAAGAAGAAGAAGAAGAAGAAGAAGAAGAAATACGTTCCTCAGGTAGAAGATATCCTGTTTCCCCAATTCAATGACCCTTCTTCTACGAATGAATCACATTCAACCATTTTAATAATCGAGATTTGATTCTTGAACCCTGAATCAATTCATGCATTGATTGTTCAGGCAAAAGCATAAGATTATCAAAATTCTCCAAATTCACAAAATTATTTATTGGGGGTGTTTAGGGTAAAAATACCCTATGCCGCGTGGCCCAGTAGAATCATGACACGTGGCAGCCCCACCAGAGGCCCAACGGGATCCAATCGGATGCTGACACGTGGCATCAAAACCCTAATCAGGGAACATGTCTCCCCCGCTATAAATAGAGGAATCCTCCTCATTTATTGGGCATTCATAAATACATACACAAAACCCGAGAAATATTAATTGCGGAATCTCTCTAAATCAGTGAGAAATACCTATTTACCTTCCGCACATTTACCCATCCGTAAATCATACTAGCTTGATCATCGGAGGCGGAACTCCACCCAACCGGAGTTTCGTGGTTTTGCAGGTACAGAAGTCAGGCGCGCATACTCCGTATTGTAACTCTCCCGAGGGACTAAAAACACCCGAAACATCTGGCGCCGTCTGTGGGGAGAGTACTACTGGGATTGCATCTGATGCTGTACCGAATGCAGAGGGCAGCCGGCCTCCGGCTGACCCTGAGGTCCATACGGACCATGAGAGTGGCAGTGGGGACGACTACGACGTCGAAACCTACATGGCCCCAGACGGGTCATTCCGTTCTAGGCACAACCGTTCCAAGGAAACAAGGGAACGGGACCACGATGAAGTTGGTCCCAGCAACCCAGGCGGCAAGCCTGTGGGACAACCCCAGGCGACGGAGGGTGCTGCCCCCATCACCAGAGCCGAGCTCATGAACCTCATGACTAGTTTCAAGGGGGAAATCAAGGATATAATCAAAAAGTCAACTGGCTCCAGCAAGGGTCAGTCGGCAAAGAAGCCTTCTCCCTCCGGGAAGAAGCAAATCAAAGACCGGATGGATGGGCCCCTGATCCCAAACCCAAGGGGACGGATGGGCCCCTGATCGACCTTTCGAAAGTTCGTTTCCCCGAATCGAGGC